ATACATATATAGGCAGATAAAACACAGAGAGATAGAAAGTAAAATAAATGAAAGGGACACGCAGATAACAGAAGCACATATGAAGGAAAATAAAAAAGAAAGTGGGATATGAAAGGGGAGAAGGCGCTAAGAACGCGAGGGAAACTGATCCTCACGTCACAAAACAAAACAGAAGCACTACCAATCACACGGCCATTATGACGTTTCAGCGCTCATCTCTTGTTTATAATTCCGTAATAACAAAAGCATCTGGACAATGGCTACAGAAACACGAAGTTAGGAGGGCAGAACAATGTCAGGGCAGGGTCCCACTGGGTGTTTGCAATGGAGGTAGCCGATCCCACCGGGCGCTTCCGGCAGTTCAGGCAATCGCGATGGGGTGGAGTGGGGTGTTTGTGTTCCAGGCGAGGGGGAAGTGAAACCACGAGAAAGAGGGAGAGAAAATAAATATTGATGCTCAGTTCAGTGACATAGTCCTTTTTGGTTTCATTTAATGAACCCCCATCCATAAGCACCTGTCACGACTGTTAATCCAGACATTTAAATGAGTCAGTTATTAAATTTTCTCACAGCGGTTATTATTATGCACTATTTTCTGGCATGTGATTCCGTGTAGCTTGAAAGATGTTTACAGATGTTTCGGAGGTACTTAACTCTTTCATATTCATTGCTGAATGAGACGGAGTCTTACGTTTCGAACCCGAAGGAGGCGATCCTCCGAAACGTCGGTGACATTCTAGCCTACACAGCGTCACAAAGCTAAAACATAATACTCAGGCTGAACTTATGCGTTATGACAATAAGAAACTGAACGGTAAAACGAAGACACGCACAATAAGATCGCGCGGAATGCTTAACAATATGAGGGTTCAACACAAGGCTAGTGTACTGCACCCAAAGGTTCGCTTCTTTGCATATCTCGAGTGAAAGTGGCTACATACTTACAGGGGAGAAAACATTTCGGATACAATTGTAGCCAAAAACATGGGGGGGGGCTTCATACTCAGTACACGTCTTCCTAAATCTTAGGATGAACAAAGAATAAGGTAAAGCTATCGCTGTAACAGGCCATGGAGGTCCATAGGGTTGTGATACGTCGAGGTTCCCACATTTTCTAGATAATCGGCGCACAGACGGCGGTGAATCTGTCAGCCTTACGCGCCGGCCAAGCCGTCCTTTACCCCCGGGCAGATTCCTGGTATTCATTTCTGTTATAGACTCAGTCAACCCCATTTCACAACGCGGCTGGAGCGATTAGATCAATTGAAGAATGCAATGACCTCATCGGGAATCGAATTCGCGACCTTCCGGCTTGAAGCATAGTGCCCTCAACCAACTACGCTCTTGTCGCTTCCCTCATCTGAGGAGGAGAGTAGGGAAAACGCAAGCTGAGCTCTCTGTATTACATCGGCTCGCAATTCTCATTCCGAAACTCTTCGAGCATTCTCTTCTTCGTGTGGGAAGTCGCAACTTCCACAGACTGTACTCTCGTCATTGTGCTCAACAGAGCAGCTAAATGCTAGAGGTACTCCTGGGAAATTCCCTGGGATATAGAATTGCATTGGTCTGTACAGGAACTGAAGCCATACCATTGCAATTCGGAGTTCCGACGAGGCTACAGGCTGATCCAGAGTTACGGTTCCGATGTCTAACACACTAAGATACAGGCTGATCCAGAATTATAGCTTCGAAATGTCTCACATAGTGTAACATGGTTGGACAGCTTTGATACTTAATAACCGGTAAACACATATCACAGCAACGAATGCGAAACAATAGGGCGTCCATTGCTAGGCAACGCATGGGTGGACACGCCTGACAACAATACATGATATCCGTTGCTGAGCAGCAGTGTTTTCTGTGGGTGGTTCTCGCCGAGTCTATATATGGAGCAGTGAAGACTGTTCGAGAAGATTCGTCACGAAGCCCTCGTTCAAGGCAGTTTAGTAGTTGATGTGTTAGTGTAATAATGAATTGTAGTTACGACGTGGAAATTATCGAATAAATCGAGTTATCGAATCCGGAACCGATTATTTACTGCCGCCTTACAATACTAAGCTTCTGGCTGATCCAGAGTTACGGTTTCCATGTGTCTAACACACTAAGCCACAGGTTGATCTACAGTTATGGTTCTGATGTGTCTAAAACACTACCCCACACTAACACAGATATGGAGTTCATGACACATTCTAAGCTTCGGCTCGTCTCTTGAATTGTGTTGATCAGTATTTCGCACGATCATACTGCCTACAACTTCAGGGCCGAAATGTGAGGCAACAAAGAACTTAGCAAGGAGCAGGGGTAAACTTGGCTTGTTCAGATGAATAGGCTTAATAAATATGCTTAGAATATCTTTGACAGAAAATATAATGAGGAGTATGCTCCTTCGAAGCTTCAGTGAACTTTTACCGGACTGCACGGCGTCATATCCGTGATCATACTTTTCACAGTCAACCTGTGAGAACCCCAATCAGTAAATGACACAGCTCGGGAGTGCGTAAGCTTCTTACGTGTCGGACTGGGTCACCGGCAGTTAGGGGCCTCTGAAAGTAGATTACATTTGTACTGGTAGGATGCTTCGTTAAACATCGGACGAGATTGGATGGTTAAGTGTCGCAGCCTCGTCTCATTTCCGGCGGCCCCCATTCAAGCCCAGTGCATGACCCGAACAGACAAAAACGGTTACGTGAGCGGTACTGCTGCTAAGAAGACAGATTGTCCTGGCCGGGTATTTCTAGGTTTTCTTCAGTTCCTTCAGAGAATTTTCGGGCTGAGATCTTAAAGTAGACAACCATCACTCCTTTTTTGGATTATTTTACATTGCTTTCAATATCCAGACTGCATAACTTCAATTGGTAGGGGAATGATGAACGATGAATTGGAACGGATCTGGGAGGAAGCGATCGTGGTCTAATCTTGGTATTAACAGGGCGTTTACCTGTAGGGACTGAGTAAAAACACGAAAAGAGTCAGTCAGAATAGCCGGTGTCTCAGCCGAGACTCGAAGCGGACATCTCACGAATACAACTCTAGAGAGGAGAGTACATACTTCTAGGAAGTGACGCCGTGGAGCCTGGTAGAAGTTAACTAATTTCGGAGCAGATGTATCCACTCCACACACTCACATCAATTTCTTTGAGGCCCATAAAAATGTAAATTTGTCCTTGTACTTAACTAATTAAGGACTACGCCATGAAGACGTGTGTGGGGGTGGATGTATAGATCCACATTTTCTTGACCTCGGCAGTAGCTGAAGCTGAGCTTTCAGCTTCTAGTCCCGACAGCTTTACCACCAGAGAAACAGATCCCTCATACCCATTGTATAGGAGGTTGGGTGAACCGCAGAGCCGTTCTGGACGATTTGGAGAAGAGAAAATTCTTGACCATACTGGGTCTCGAATTCCGACCCCTCAGTCATCCAGCTCGTAGCCTGTCGGTATGCCGACTGAGCTATTCCGGCTTTTAAGACCCATATAATATTATTATATAAGAAGTTATTCCTGTAACAGGCTTTGGAGGCCCATAGGATTGTGAAACTTCGAGGCTCCCATATTTTCTCTAGACATACGGCTCGCAGATGGCGGTGAGGCTACCAGCCTTACCCCTGCACCAGCCCTTTACCTCCCAGGAAGATTCCTGGTGCTCATTTCTGTTAGAGGCTGAGCCGACCACAGGGCCATATTGCAGCTGGAAGGGTTAGATCAATTCAAAAATCCAATGACCTCATCGGGAATCGAACCCGCAAACTTCCGGCTTGTAGCACAGTGCCTCAACCAACTGCGCTACTGCGTGACCCCATATGCAGGCATAAATTAATATAGGGTATAGAAAAATCCTCATTATGCAATTTTCTGTGACCTGTTACTTCCTTTTAGCTCCACCTCGGCACTAGATGGAGATGAGTGGTGAGCTTCAAGCTCTGCCCGCTTTATCCAATGCATAAGAGACTGGGTGGGCTCCAGGGTCGGTCTGCAAGTTATAGAGAAAAAGCAGTACACGTAGTCGTTATAAGGACTGAGCTACCCGCCCGAATGAGCGTGCTAAGGGCCATGTGTACTCACCCAGGTCCCACTGGTCGTCGTTCCTGTGGCGCTCCTTATCGGCCACGACGTACCAGATGCAGGCGAGCCAATGCGCGACGAGCGTGAAGGAAAGCATGAGGAGTGTGAGGATCATGGCGCTGTACTGGGAGTAGCGGTCCATCTTCTGTAGGAGGCGGGCGAGGCGCAGCAGTCGTGTCAGCTTCAACAGGTGGATGTGTGACGGCCCCGACTCCTGCAATAGCGACTGACGGTTTCGGTGGTTTTCCCCAGTTCCCTCCATGTCAGTATCATGTCTCTGGCATAGCCTCCCCCCTTCCAAAAAACTGTAATTACAATTGAATCGCTCGAATGACGACCATTCCGCCATTTCCTTTTACTAACCTGCCATTCGATAAGGTGGCTCTGGCATTCACGTAACTAGCGCAATCTTTTGACCGAACATCATACTATACACCGTACATTATATTTCAACTTTGAAAATGTCGATAGATGAACCCTATTAAAATGTGTGTACCTTTTCTTGGGGGGCGGGGGCAGTTTTTAAAGTTTAGGCACGCTGGTGGCGGGCCAACATCACAGTTTGTTCAGGGTCTAGCATTATCTTAAATCGACCTTGATCACGCTAATAAATAAAGTAGGCCCATGTCAGAAATTCAGTAGGTCTACCCTTAATTGTAAATAAGAGTTTTGCTTCGCGAAGTCATGTGAGGGAGAGTCAGAAAATACGTCACAAATGGAAGTGAACCAGCTGTAATGGACGTAATGGGTTTTCTGTCAGTACCAGTAGGTAGCAGCACAGTCCAGCTTCATGACAGTCTAGGTAGCAGACGCCATGTTCAGAGGCTGGTTTCAGCAGTCAAAATGACGATCGTGCTTGAGGAGTGTACTGCAGTCACAGGGTGAGGGCTAAGAAACGACTAGATTACTTCCTCGACCGTTGCTTCTTTGGCTAGGGGCACACAGTTCACGGGGCTTGTCAGGAGGGCGCAGGTGCGAAATGTGGTAAGGGAGGAAATCACAACAACAAAAACCCACATCCTCACCCTATGCTACCCTATATTGGTTATACACACAATCAATATACAGTTATATACATTTTAGTGGTATCACAATNTATTAAGCATGGCGATAAGAGTAGTTTCACTTACTTTGCGTTGAGACTGCAGACGGATGACGTTGCCCGATATCTAGTCGATGCCTCTTCCAGCATGGCCTACTGCCGCAATTGGCCAAAATTACTGTTAGAATAGTCCCCATAATAATTTGCTCTCCGGGTTATATACCTTTATTCTTGCTAACTCATTACTTTCCCGGGGGGTGCAAGCCCGTCTACAATGACGTCTTGTCCCAAGTGGCTAGCTGCCGTTGGCTGGGATCCTCGGGGGAGGATACGCCCCTTCTACTGCTAGTCCATTTGGCTAACACTTTTACCTGCAAACGTACCCCCATCTTTCTCAAGTATAGATTCTGCAGAGTTAGCATTTCGATGTACCTTCAACGTCATTCTGCTGACAAGACATCGACGAGTCAAAGGCTAACGTCCGTCTAACTCCATACGCAGAAATTCCTTGAAGTTTCTTAACCCTTCTTACATCCTCTTTCGTACGTCTTACAAGTATTTCTCAAAATTAAGTCTATTCTAGCCAACATTTTCCCCTAAAATAAAAAATTAAATACTCTTTTAACATGTTACCGGAAGTCGGCCTTCAGAGCACAACAAGGAGTATATTATCGAAGAACAGTCTTCTGTTGTGCGTCTTTTGTAGGTGAAAGGACTCAATGCAAAGGATATTCATAAAGAAATGTTTCCTATTTACGGTGGGAAGTGTTTGTCACGTAAAGCGGTTCATAACTGGGTGGAAAACATTTCGCTGATGACGAAGAAGTTGAAACGGAGGTGCTGAAGTGGCTGAGACAGCAGCCAGAAGACTTCTATGCTGCGAGTTTCGACGCAATGGGACAAGTGTATCAGTGTTGGTGGAGGATATGTCGAGAAATAAATATTTCTTCTAGTATCGAATATCACATGTTCTATGTTTCATATCTATTTGTGACCTATTTATTGAACCTCCCTCGTATCTTACTCACCTCCCCGCTGTACACATCGGAGGCGTAGAGGAGGTCAAAAGGCAGGGCTGCCAGCAGATCAACTATGAACCAGCTCTTGAGGTAGTTGAGAGCAATGGACCGTGAGTTCGAGACTACCTCGCCCTTACAGTTGACGAATGTTGTCCGGAAATTCAGTATAATGTCTGTAAGTCATAAGCACACATACTGCACATAGCTTTATTGGGGAAAAGGCAGACGTGATTATTGACGCACTCAGACGTCCTCTTGTTTCTGAGAGAATTATCTAAGGTCATGAAGCACAGTAGAGTCGGGATAGCTCAGTTAGAATAGTTACCAGACCAGGAGATATAGGATAAAGGAATCAAAGTTCGATTCCCGAGAGAGGTAAGAGCTTTCTCTTCTCCACAGTACCCAGAATGGCTCTGGTTGTCACCCGGCCTCGTATTCATTGGATAAATCGGCCAGGGTGTCAAGCTCTACATTCTTTTTCGTTCAGTGCCGAGGATACGAATTTGTGGAGCTATATCTCGCTTCTCCATACGTCTTCTTTGTGCGGTGAATAGTTAAGCACAGGGACTTCACATTTTCTACTGAGCAGATTAATTACTGAGATCCTAAGCTGCTTAGCTAGTCACAAGAATCCCTGTCTTGTTTGTACTTGGGTCATTAACCTTCTAAAATTCGTGTCAGTGGTCTTTTTCCCCCTTGATCTGAAATTCTACAGCAAGCACAACAAAAGAGCAGCCCACCTTTCTTCCGGCAGACGCTATAATACCGACTAAAGCACTACCATTTGTTGCTGCTATCTTCTGGTCCTCACGTAAATAACCGAAATGACTTCTTTATTTGGTTTCCATGGAAACAACATAATACCAACCTGACAAACGTCGCCATCCTTAAAGCTATTTCTTCTGTATATGCATAAAAGTAACGTAGTGCTGTGAGATGAAAGCCTTGAATTTCCGGGACCTTCAGGTCGCCATAGCAACAAGTTATATAGCATTAACACTTTATATAAACGTTAATTTATGTCGTGCGTCACAAACGAGCGAACTGACTTTTATTTCAGTGTATCATGTCTATTACGTTAATATTTATTTCGATATGTATTATGAGATGTGATAGGAGCATGCGGTAGCGTAGTTCAGGCACTATGATACAAGCCGGAAGGTCGCGGGTTCGCTTAACAGTGAGGTCACTTGATTTTCCAACTGACCTAATAATTTCAGCCGCACTGTGGCCCTGAGGTCGACTCAGCCACTAACAGAAATGAGTACTGCGAATCTTCCTGGGGGTGAAGGGCAACCGGCGCGTAAGACTGATAACTTCCCCGACATCTGTGTTCCGATCGTCTGGAAAATGTGAGAGCCTCGACGTCTCAAAACCCTATGGGCCTATACGGCGTCTTAAAGAGATAGCCTTATTTTGCACGATGTAAATATACTATAAAAGGCGATAGTTCATGATTGACTATTTGTGCGTGCTATTCGTGGGAGATGGCGTTAAATATTGGCCTCGACTCGTATACAACGTAGTACGAAAGGATATTTAATTCCTAGCGGGTGTGAGGTTAGTTACATATATAGAAACGCCTCCGTGAACACTTTTATGAGTATAACTTTACAATTCACTTCCAGTGTTAGTCAACACAATTCTGTGGCCTTACGGAGCGATTAAACCTTATTCGTGTTTCGCTACAGACCCTCCTGCTAGGCCATACTGTGTGTCTGTGTGTGCTCTTCGGTGTGGTCTTTCCCCCAACATCCAACTCCCTTCCGGCGCCGAACCTGTGATGGTATTGCGACCCAATGTCTATAGACATTGTTTCTAAATCCAAAACATACAGTGACACTGTTGGGCTTTCGTGCAAGGGAAATAATATTACCGTCTTCACTCCATAACCAAATTTTTTAAAATTCAGGCAGTTTTCTTTCGCCTCCTAGAACTACCGGAATATCCATCCTTCGCCCTGAATATGATTCCTTTCCTTGCCAAAAAGTCACGATATAGACAGAACGAGAACTCTCTCGACTTGTAGTCGGGAGGTGCTCGGTTCGAATCTAGTCCGTGACACCTGCTTTTCTGATTCAGGTTCTTCATAAATGTCAGGTAGTACCTCGAGTAGGCCACGACCACTTCTTTCCAAGTAATTTAACATTTATCATTTTTTATTGTCCCACAATTCAATGTCGGGAGACACGCGGTAGCGTAATTGGTTGAGGCACTATGGTACAAGCCGGAAGGCCGCGGGTTCTATTTCCGATGAGGTCCTTGGATTTTTTCAATTGACCTAATCCTTCCAGCTGCACTATGGCCCTGGGGTCGACTCAGCCTCTAACATAAATGAGTACCAGGAATCTTCCTGGGGGGCAAAGGGCGGCCGATGCGTAAGGCTGACAATCTTACTGCCATCTATAAGCCGACTGTCTAGAGAATGTGGGAGCCTCAACGTCTCACAACCCTATGGGCCTCCATAGCATGTTCCAGGGATAGCTTTACCTTTATTTTTTACCATTAAATGTTATATATTGTAGACATTGTCAGCGTTGTAAATTATCCAGGAAACAATGAGGCAATATATGTAGGTAAAGTTATATCTGTGTCAAGTTACACAGTTAAGCACCAAACATGAAGATATTGGCTATAGTCGGGGTTTGGTTTCGTGAATAGATTTATTCACTACTAACAGGACGTAACTACAAATAACTATAAAAACATCGCTTATTTCGACACAACAAATCACTCCACACTAAGTCTTCTCAGCCTGTTTCCACTAGTCTTTACTTGGTAACAGCTCTCCACAGTGGCTATTCCTCTGCAGTGGCTTCACTGGTCGTTTCTTGGTAATGAATCTTATCAATGGAGATTCTTCCGCTTAACCCTCCAGAGCTGAACCCTCAACTACCAATTCCGGAGGCTCGACTCAGTTCATTCCTCTGCTCCCGAGCTCATACCCTGGCAGGCTGATGTCTCGAAACTCGATTAACTCTTCTTTACAGCTACTTTGCACGGACCACGCCAAAAACACAGCCTCTCTAATGTTGGGAAGGCGTGGTTTACAGCGCCGTTGCATAGCAGCGGAAGCGACTCGATAGTTGCTTGCGTATTCGTTGCCGCGGAAATGTGTTTACCGAGTCGTTGCCTGACAATGGAGGTCTATTCTGGCTTCACTATTCCGACATTCGAGCATCATGGCACAATATATTGTGAAGTGGAGGTATAGCTCCACCATTCTTAACCCCGGCACTGAATGGAAGTGAGTGGCCAGCGTAACGCCCCTGTAACTTTATTCCTCCCGGGGAAGCAGCCCCCAATGCCCCTTTGCTATGGGGCTAGGTTGGCCCCAGAGCTAGTCTGGATGCTATGAAGAAAAGAGAAATATCTTGCTTCTGTCGGGCGAACTCCAGTCATCCAGCCTGTAGCCAGTCGCTATACTGAGCTGTCCTGGCTCCCTGCATATTGGCAAGATTTTTTTAATGGCTCTTCCAGCCAATTCAGGACCCTGGCCTCTTATTCAGTTCCGTAATAATTTTTCGCAGATGGTAGGACTCCTTGGATGGGGGAATAGCCCATCGCAAGGCCTATACCTAGACACAGGACAACACAAACATAGAAAAAACGCATACACACATCAAACATCCGTGCCTTGAGTGGGATTCAAACCAACGATCTTAGTGTCCGAGCGAGCGAAGACAGTCCATGCTACTGGGACCGGCATATTGGCAAGGGTATGGGGCAAATTTCATGACATCTTTGGGAGGAGGTCCGCGGAAGGGACAGAGACAGCTACAGAACAACTGCAGAGAGGTGCCCGCACTAATGCGTATAAACGCTGCACACTGGATTAGTACATTCACTGGGCTGGAGGAAGACAACCAGAGAGGAATCACACAAATGATACAGGAATGCTACAGGAGAAAGTTCGAGGAGTAGGGTTATCCTTGAGAAGCTTAAGTGGCTGAGACAATCAAGAAATTCCTTATGTTTTATGGGACCCAAATTTTCATGACACTGTTCGCAAAATACAAGAGTCATTCTCAACTAACAAAATACGGTCTGCTTCATTAATTAATGGGGCCGCCTCTGTGGTCTAGCGGTCAGAGTTCCTGGCTACATATCCAGAGACCATGGGTTCAATTCCCAACGCTACCAGGNGTATGCTTCGTTATTAATTGGACCGCCTATGTGGTCTAGCGGTCAGAGTTCCTGGCTACTTATCCAGAGGCCATGGGTTCGATTCCCAGCGCTACCAGGTTTTCTGATAAGTAGTGGGTCTGGAACGGGATCCACTCAGCCTCGTGAGGATAATTGAGGAGTTATTTTAAGGAAACAGCGGCTCCGAGAATAAGCCCGTGGGGATCCGTTGCGCTGACCACGCGGCATCCTCTATCCGCTAAAGTTGGCACTAACTTCGCCGACAAGAGGAAGTCGCTCGGTCGGTATAGTTCGCTTGCGGACTACAGGCCATAGGGTTCGTTAATTAATTGTTTATTTAAGAATGGTGCTAGCTCAGATCACGCAGAGTCGAATGGTGGGGTGATAATTTGGCAATGAATGGGCAAGGATGTGAAAGAAAGCGTTGAGGTATATCTGAAGATTTAACTTCCAAATCGGCTCTGAGACTTATCCATTCTTCTATCCAATTTGGTACTACCCGAAACGTCTCATGGCGCTGTCAGCATCTCAAGCGGTAGAGCGTCGAATGAGGAGTTTGGACGGAAGCGATCATGATCTCCGAGATATTTTCTTGAGAAACTGAGGAATACCATGGAAGAACTCACAGGTACTTTATCTGATGTCATGGCCGAGATTCGAACCCAGCACCTCTCGAACACTTATCTGGAGGGTTACCGCTATATCAACCTGCTACTTTCTTCATGGCGTGGCGTCTAAATATGCCTACTGTGTCCTGACACATGCCTGGAGGGACTGAGAAAAATGGCGCAAAATCACAATCAAGGTAAATGGTTGATTGGCCGAGATATGAACCCGTAATTTACCGAATAGGAAGCAGGGGTGGTAACCGCTCCAGCACGACGTTCGGTCTACTTGGATTCGGTCCAGAGCCTGCCCGCTGCGTCCCTCTGAGGCAGATCTCGGTATTCGAGCAACAGATTCAGAGCCGAGAACCTGTCCACATCTGTCTGCTGTTATTGATTCAGTCACATGTACGGTGTATCAT